AACCTACCATAATGATCTCAAATTTTCCTTATACTGTACATTTTAGACTATCAGTAATCTCAGCTTTGTGTCATTTGCAACTTTTTAAACAAAATCTTTTAGACCTTAATCAGCTGGGGAAAAAAAGTCTTGCTGGAGAGGGAACCCTAACAGCATGAGTGTTGGATGTAGAAAAGGAGTAACAAACATATGATTAAAGAAGGTGCCATGTGTACTTGCTAGATGGCTTTATGTAGGTCATCAAAATCAGCCTTAGTTCAATTCTCCTGTGTCTGCCAGTTTGGAGAGTGACTAGGTTCACACATTGCAATAAACCACAGTTTCTTTAACCACCTACTGAATATGGGAGCCAGTCTGGCATAGTGGTTAATGCATCAGGCTAGAAACCGGGAGATCTTGAGTTCTAGGCCTGCCTTGGGCCAGTCACTCTCTGCCAGCCCTAGGAAACAGACAATGGCAAACTACTTCCAAAATCTTGCCAAGAAAACTGCAGGGACTTTTCAGGCAGTCGTCAGGAGTCAAGTCTGACTCAAAGGCAGGTGCACACACACGTACACACACAAAAAATATACCATATAACCTTAAGCCAAATTCAAACAAACCATTTTATGGCTTAGTTGAAAGTGTGAACTAGGTTAGAGTGGGGCAGTAACAACTAATAAACCAAGACCAGGGAATCTTTTCTAACCAAAACACTGGCTTGGTTTAAGTATCATATAAAGCTATAGTGCAGCTCGTTTGCTTTGGGCTTAGAAAAATGTGTGAACTACTTAAACACAAAATAAATTACTGCTGTTGTCTATTGCGACCATTGTGTCTGCAAAACATCTTGCCATTCAAGAGGAATGTATATGTGCTTCCTATTAATTTTGTCCTTCATTGGAGCAAACTGAATCACAAACAGCTAGGAGATTGGTTTAGGACTTCATGGCTGAATTCATACACCACACTTAAGCCAATGAGTTAGGGATTTAGCATACACACAACCAGTTAAGTTTTCTTTATTGTAACAGGTTATGTTTTTTTGTGATTTACTGTGTTTAATGTACTATTTGATTCCAGAAAGCAATTCAGAAATTGTGTTTGATGAACTCAACTTAGCATGTCACACAAACTAAGAACAGTGGGTTAACTCAATAAACCATAGTTTAGTTAACTTTGGGTAAGCACATTATGGAAATACACCCAGTGTAAAGGCTGCATATTCTATGTCACAACGCAGAATTGTACTTGCGACCTTTTACAAAGTAATCCATTCAGAGTTTGGAAATCTTAGCAAGCTTGTCCTTTATCCCCAAGGACCATCTTATCTTGAACATTTGCTTGAAACCGGATTGTTGGATTCATGGAGGCTTCAAGTCCTCTGTACCGATCCCTTTGTTTTTAAGGAATCCCTCCTTTCTCAAATGAAAATCCATCCCCCTTCCAAGGCAGGTCAGCTAAAGAACCCACAAACCCGGAGCTACCCCATCTGGGCTGCATACCTCTGGACGACCACAAAGCGGCAGCCGAGAGCTTTCTGAGGCTCTCTCCCGCCACCTAACGGTCCTCCGGATTTTTTGCAG